TACCTGTTCTAATCTGCAGTCATTTATTAGATTTCTTTGGGATCCGAAAGGAACCAATTCTGTCTCCTGTAGCAGATGTAGACGTATTTCTCGAATTGTCCTCTCTTGGTTTGTAGTCATAAGACCGTCTTGAGAAATTGGGTCTCTGAGTAGATGTTCTGTAACTGTTATTCAAAACAGTAGTAGTTCTGGGTTTTTTAAAATTTCCAGAGTTTTCAGCAGAATTTTCTGAAAATTTGCGTTTTTGATTTTTTTCATTCCATTCCGGAATTAAATCCTTAAGAGAATCTTTCTGCTCTTTCCTTTCTTTTAGTTTCTCTTCTAATTTCTTGCCAAAGACGCCATCTTCTGAAAGAGGCAGGCAAATAATTTTGCTATGAATATCCTTCAAGGTATATAATCCAGAGTCTTGTGCTGCAGTTTTCCTTCTTATAAGATGGTGAAAAGCCCCTGCTCTCCCCATTTGATCTAGTGCCTTGGTAGACATGGAGAAAATGTCTTTAATTGCTTGAACTGTGTCCGCATCTTGACAAGTTATAGAATCTAACAACGTTCCTAAAGCTTGCTGCATGTAGCTTAATGAAATAATACCCATACGGGCAGCCATCTGTCCCTGATATGCCAAAGTTTCAATACTTTTGTACGGCTGGGAAATTAAATGTTTACTTTTCCCCCAACCTTTGGTTTTATTTCCATGTTTTTTTCTTAACATTGGTTCTAAAATGTCATCTAGCCCTGGAACTTGAAGAAATGCTGCCGAGTTTGGATGAACAGGGAAACATTGTCTATATTCATCTCTGTAAGCAGACAAGCGTTCAGGATCAGTAATTCTCCATGACTTTTTCAAGATCTCCTCTTGTGTTTTGTCTAAAACTAATCCAGTTTTTTCTTCCTCTGAAGAAGAAACATTGCCAAAAATATCAGTAAGAGTTTTTGTATGCTCATCACTTTTATTGATCAAGTTCTGAAATCTATTGTTGTTGTTGCTGTCCAACTTATGTTGATTGTTATCAAAATCATGGGCAGTAATAGATTCCTCTTGTACTGAGGATTCGTTATCACCCAATAGCTCACGTACTTCTCTGACACTTGGAGCTAATGATATCATATCGTCCATTTCAGGCACACTTAATGTCCCTTCAATTTGGACTTCACTTTCCAAAGGTATAATCGGACGCATTCCAGATGAATCGTCTACATTTGATACCATGGGCTCAGGTCTCCGCGTGGATAAACCACCGGTATCCTGATCCGCTAACGAATTGTGAGACACGTTTGTCTCGTGCACATTATGAGAAGCTGTATTCTCTAAAACACTGCTGGACAAAGTTTCAATACTTTCTCTTAGAAAATTCATCATAGTGTCTAACCTTTCGTTGACTCTGTTTTCTAATTGTTCCATTTTCTCGTTAGCTTTGCTGGAGGATTTCCTACCGGACCGCGGTTTTTTTCCTTTGGCCTCCATTACTGATTGTAATTTCTGGAATTCCGAGCCCGAATTTAATTCGTCGTTCGAAATAAAACTGGCTTCTTCCATACTTAAACTAAGAGCATGAGAGAGTATCTATACCAATACCTTATACAAAATACAAAGTATTTGTATCACTCCGTGGCTGAGAAATCTCTGCCAAAAAAAGTATGAACGTTCTGTTGCACGCCTGAAGATGAACTGATTTGGGCAAGCACCTGAGATGTGATCTCGGTCTTATAAGTGTTTGAATCTTATTCTTTTAAACGCTTGCCCGCGAGTTATGAACGTTAATAAGGGGAAGATATCCTAATGTATATTTATGACTGGTAAGTATAACGAACGAAATAAAATTAAAAAATTGTGCAAAATTTTGTATGGAATTATATAGAAGACAAAATAAAATCTCAAATCTAAGCACCAAGGAAAACCTACGCTTTCTTTATATTTCAGGGATTTATTATTTATATCACTACAAATCAAAATCAGTCAAAAAATATATATCAACCCGCGCATCCATTTTTTGTTTGTGGTAAGTACCCTTAACTTACTAATAACAGCATACATTTATTCTACGTGACAAACGTTGAACACCCTTACTTCAAATCGACACTAGCTTTTATATTTCTTGTCTCTCTAATCTTTTCGATATTTAAAAACAAGAACTTTGAATGCATTTTATTTTTTAATGGCAATTTAGATATTTCCTAGGTCTCTTCCATTTTTTTTTTCAACGGGTGATATAGCATGATAGAAAAGGAAACCACCCCCTTTCTGACCCATCACAACTCATAAATTGTTTGGACGTTTCATATATATTTTACTATGAAATTTTATAGAACTTACAGAATGGGGTAAAAAATGCTAATTTTATGATATATATATATATATGGAATATTGTAATATCACAAGAGTGAATTAACGGTAATTTTGGATGACAGATGCTAACAAAAAAAAATCGTAATCTTCGAGGTTGCGCCGCCTTGACCAGGGGCGTAGAAACAGGGGGGCCATGGGGGGCCTGGCCCCCCACTTTTTTCCCAACCTTACCTATACTATAGCAAATGTTAATTGAAAACCTGGTTGCCCCCCCCCCCAGTTTTAGTGATGTACCGAAAATGAAGTATTAGAATTGGTACTGAAAGTAGTTGACACTGAAAAAAAGTTAGCCTCTACCCCCCCACGAAATAGGATTTTCGACTTTGGGCAACTGACTTTGGGCAACTTTCAACTTTTCCTTTTTTTTTTGTTTTGCTTGTCAACTTTTTTTGGTAAGTAAAAAAAAAAATTTCTCCGGCTGGCCCCCCCACTTTAAAAAACGATGCTTCGCCACTGTTGACATACCATTGCTTGAAAAACACCAAGAATTCATTAAAAAGATATTTATTGATGCATCGTTAATGAGTAAGATGATGCTAATACGTAAGAAAATTAAAAAGTTTAAGTAGCTTTTCTTTACATATTTTATTAGATATTCATAAATAAGGCATTCATTAACAGCAGACATTTAACAACTGTTTAACTCGAAGACATCTTATTTGAATATATGTGTATAAATAAATAGAAAAATACAAGATTTTAGCAATGAAATACCGACACTCTCGACTTGAATGGCAGCTTTTGGCGAAAGTTATGTTTTTCAGATATGCAAGTAGAGCTATTTCCAAAGCTAAGGGTAATGTCAAAAGATAAAACAATTCTTCGCAGGAAGAAAGGACTTGTCTCAGTGAACATGTCTCTAAAACACGAAAGCCCAAGCACCATCCATTGAATGTTTTTTTTTTTTTTATAAATTAGTGTGGGAACAAAGGGAGTACGTCATCTCTATATGAAGTATGAAATAAAGACCTTGTTAGTTAATTAAGATAAAATGCTTTTAGCAATACCACCCACCAGTTTTCAAAAATAGGTCACAACAACAACATATAATACAAAAATTTTGACTGGTAATGCATCATAAAAGGTACATTCGAAAGCAGTGCAAGTGGAGATAAACAAGAAAAATAACAATCAAATTGAATCTTCTTCAAATCAAGTGCTTTAACATTAAGCTATACTGAAACATATCCAGGTAACTCAACATTGTTTTTTTTTCCTGGTCTACAGAATTAATCAGGCCGGGATTATTGTCTTACATTGATTTATATTACGCAAACATAAAAGAGGTGCTGGACAATAGGCATCTAAACAAGAGCAAATTCCCGAAGTATTTAAATAAACTGAACAACATGTCAAAACTATACATAGTTAATTTTGATAATTAAGGATTTTTTTGATAAGAATTTTTTATACAAATTATTGATGCTTAAACGTACTTGCAGGAGGGATGTAACTATTAGAATTAGTACAAATATATGAAATATGAATTATAATTTACCGAATTAATCTTAGTTTTAAAATTTACAACAAGAGCCCCATGGGCCACATCGCTCACCTAAGCAAACTGGTAATGAAAAAAAATCCCCAGAAATAAGTTCAATATCTTAGAGACCAGATTTGTTCAAACTTGAAAGTAAACTGACTAAGAAAGACTAGATATTTTATAACTAGTCGTAGATTTTGAAGATTTTCAAAGAAAATGTTATACTTTTGTTGATTTGGATCCCTGTTGTATAATTTTTATGTATTTTTTTTTACAAGTCTAGACCAATTTTTTCCCGTTGCGAGTTGTAAGTTTAGCAAACACTATATACATGTCTTTGTCGTTGATTTGCATTTCCTCATATTGTCATTTATTGGGCGTCTTCTAAAATAAAGTTTCATAAAACTACGGCACTCTAACAACCAGACTATATTATGTTGTTTACAACCATAAAACACACATTATATGTGCAACTGCCTCGTAGTGGACACCAACAGACTTTACATACAACATATTTCAGTAAGAACTAATCAACATGCAAGTTAAAAGACGTATAAGGTATTGAGAAGTGAACATTTGGTTCTGAAAGATATACAAGAATCTATAATTCGTTGAATCTAACAATTTGCCGGTATGGTTTTGTCAATTTATCTTTTCATTTGCAATATAATAAACTTTAAGTTCTTAAATGACATGATTTTGCACGATCTTTAAAAAAAATATCTCTGAAATTGTAGTTCTCAAAAAAAAAATTGACAGCAACTTGACCAAAAGTGATTGAAAGAATAGGAAAGATGTACGTGTTATCCTGAAATTTACAATATACAATGAACTTATTCCGTCCAAGAAATGATATACTAGTAGTTGGTATGCTTTTATTGTAACTACCGGTATTTTTGTGTCCATCTATATTTTCCAAAATCTCTTCAGCTCTTTTGTATTGATAAAATGCTGATCAATAACCGAATGCAAAGGACAAATCATTTCTTCATCATCTCTTTGAATGTCTTCCTCTGAAAGGAAATAATCTTTGATATCCATGGCAATTAGCTTTGAATCGTCCACACGACATCTAAAGCCTCGTGCAAACAAGAGCTTTCTGTGAAATTTTCCTGCAAAATCATTTAATTTATTTTCCACCTTTTCTTGAATGAGTTGAGTTTTATCCCTTTCCAAAATGCAACCTGGCTTAGGATGAACAATTTGAAGTTGTATAGACTCATTTGTGACGGATAGAACGATAATGTATCCCTCAACTGAAAACAAAGCAGCATCTTTGTAGAGGCATGGTGTGTTGTGCGTTTTAAGCACTATCCAATTTTTCTCTTGTATACAAGCGACAACAAGACGAAAGAAAAAGAAAAAGGGTAGAAATGTAAATCGATAAACGACAACAGATGATTTACTTTCCGATCGACGAATAAGATCTGGGACAGCAGGCTCCATCTCCTTCCGGTTCATGCATGGAACATAGTGGGAATCTTTACCAACAACCAGTAAACCAAGTCTTTGCATGAAATGAAGGAGTGATTCCTGATGATATCCCAGGTATCTTTTGTCATATCTAAAAGAGCCCAATTTAATTTCGTATTCCTCGTTCTCTTTCTTTAACATTTCAAACAGTTTATCGTCCTTGCTTTTCCATATCTTTTTAAGAAGGGCATTCCGCAAATATCCACTTTTATAATATTCATCCCAATCCTTTTCGTTTCCAGGAATACCAGTAAAATGCAGTCTGTCTGTGATGATATGTTTGAAGGCGTCAATAAACCACTGGATATCAATAATCAATCTTTCATCTAGACCATTTTCATCAAAGTATAGAACTTTCCCGGCATCATGGTAGTATCTTAGCATATCTAGTTTTCCTTTTGATACTTCATTAAAACTTTTCTGAGAATCAGCAGAAGTCTCTGGAACTTCTGTTGTTATTTCAGAGATTTCCATAATTCGCCTAGAATTTTTCTTCTGATTAATTTCTATTTGAAAGAAAAACCATTCTTTCGGAATACTTTCTTTCCATCGCTGATGACAGGCAATTTCGTAAAAGCTTCTTTCTAAATCATCAAGAGGTACAGAGAGCTGTATACAATGTAATCTATCTTCCCTGATGTACTGTGATAAATTAGATGCTTTAGGAAGTTGATCTCGTAGACTGTCCATAAGTTTATTCTTGTCCTGTAATTATAAAACATGGTTTCTGCTAATACGTATATATGAATGATTATATCTGGTCTTTTTTTTACGAAAGTTATCGTCGGCCCAGTAATGTTGTTTTATAATTTTAGAAAACTTCTCCGAAGATAAAAGCCATAAAAGTACCGTATATACTCGCCTATAAGTCGGTTGTACTTAATAAGCTTATATTTCAGATGGACTGACTTCATATAATACCATTATTTTTATAGCTCGCCCATAAGTCGGACACAAAGTTTAGGACCAGATATCAACTCCCAAAAAACCGACTTATAGGCGAGTATATACGGTAGTACAATTTAAAGCTTTTAGCATAATAATTACAAAGTAACAAGGAATGTATTGTAATTTCTACGTAGAAAGCTACCCTTTTATCCACTGCAAAATTAAATCTTACTTGATTTTAAAAAAATCATAAGATGCTAATATGATTATTTCAGTATGCTCACCTTAAACTGTCTGAGTTCTTCTTCCCAATGAGTTGCTACAATAAGTACTATAGGCTTCTGGTCATTTTCATTGTCCGAGCCACAGTAAGTATGTATAGACTTTAACCAAAATACAAAGTAGTCTAAAATAAATAAATGTCAATATTCCAAATGAAGTTAAAATAAGCTATCAAAGAAGATGGGCGTATAAGGCGGGCAGAATGCCTATAGCGCGACAAATAAGAAGTGAAAAAAATTAATCTCAATTAATCCGACATGCACTGGGAGACAAATTTTGTGTCGGAATAGACAGGGTGTTGGATTGCACAGTGTAGGAAACAAAGTAAATGCAAAAATGGGAAAGAAATTTAACGTCGGAATTCACAGTTTGTCGGATTATTCAGGTGTCGGATTAGACAGTTTTCACTGTATATCCAAATTTTATTTCATATTTCATCTAATATTAAAGTGTACTTAATGTAAAATCTCTATAATTTACAAAAATCTCACCAAGACTGAAAATATTTGCCTATGAAAAAGCATACACAGACTTAAAAGAACAAAAAGGATAATTTTTTCATACTTTAACAAAATGTTTCAATGTGAGTGGGTCTTCGCTCCATTTTTTTGAAAGATAATCCTAAAAGTTTGCGATAAAATACATATTTTTGGGTTTACAAAAAAATAGAGGGAAGACCCACTATACCTTAAAAATACACTTTTATGACAAAACATTCGCATCTTTCCGCGAAATACTTCAAGTCCATTAAGTCAAGGGTCATATCACAAACATGATTTAAATGCCACTACAATACATGAGCCATGCAGCATAGTGGTTAGTGCGTTAGTCTCAAAGCAGTCTGATACATCGGTATTTTATTGCTGGGGTTCGAATCCCACAAATACCATGGAATATTTTTTTAAAGAGATTTATTTTTTCTCAGAAAATGTTTTTTTTCTCATAATTTTATAAATTTCAATGATAAAATGTAAATTTAAATACTCAATTTACATATCAAATGTGATTTCTTAATATCTGACGCTTTAGGCATTCTGCCCACCTTATCCGCCCATCTTCTTTCATTATTGAGTTTTCACTTAAATGAGAATCAAACGATTTGTAATTTGAGTTACTTGCATCATTTTGTAATAATCCATTGAGTAAAATTCGCTGAAAAATAGTTACTTAGTATGTAAAATTATTACGTATACATTTGGACAGGTAAAAGATTTTTGGTATGAATTAAATTCAGCAAATCAACTAGAGAATTTTGATAGGTAGGAGGCCCATTGGCCACATCGCTTACCTGAGCACTGTGGATGGGAAAAAGAAGAAATTGGTTTATTATTGAATAGAGTGTATATCCAAAAGTAGTCCTATGACCAGTCATGGCTTTGCTATTCTTGATAAGATGATTTTTAAAGAATGTTCCTATATATTTCTATGTAAAACTTTGATTGGCCATTTTGGCCCCGCCCTACACCCGGGGGTCATGATTTGAACAAATTTGAATCTACACTACCTGAGGATGTTTCCCGGTAAGTTTCATCTTTTCTGGCCCTGTGGTTCTTGAGAAGAAAATTTTTAAAACATCCCACCAAATTTTCATTAATTCCCAATTATCTCCCCTTGAATGAGAGCGAAGCCCTTCATTTGAACAAACTTGAATTCCTTACCTGAGGATGATTCCATATAAATATGATCAATTATGGCATTATTATTCCAGTGAAGAAGATTTTTAAAGAAGTTTCATATATATTTATTTGTAAATTTTGATTGGCCAATTAGGCCCCGCCCTTCCCCCAGGGGTCATGATTTGAATAAACTTGAATCTTTACTATCTGAGGATGCTTCCATATAAATATGATCAATTATAGCATTGCTATTCTTGAGAAGAAGATTTTGAAAGAATTTTCCTATATATTTCTATGTAAAGCTTTTGTCGGCCATTTTGGCCCCACCCTACCCCCAGGGGACAAGATTTGAACAAACTTGAATCTACACTACTCATTCATGTCCAGTTCCCTAAATCAATTCGATATTGTCAACATCGCAATGTAAACAATGTTGAAACGAAATCGTGAATACATCGTCTACATTGCTATTGCTTCTACATAACAACATCGCGTCAACGTCGACATCGCAATGTTAACAATGTTGATACGATATCGTGTTTACATCGTCTACATTGTAATTGTTTTTACGTGACGATAACGTCGACATCACAATGTAAACAATGTCGATAAGATATCATGTTTACATTGTCTACATTGTTATTATTTCTACATGACGACATCATCGACGTCGACATCGCAATGTAAACAATGTTGATACGATATCGCGTTTACCTTGTCTACCTTGCTTTTATTTCTACATTGTGTATTGATAACGCAATGTAATAAATTTTAAAACTATTTTGCATGTTCTGTACAGATGAAAAACACTGTTTCTAAGGTTGAAAAACAGTTTTTTAGTTCATTTTCAGAATGTAAGAGACATGCTTCATACCTGATATGTACACTTAATGTGGACTCATAAGAGTTAAAGATTGCCCTGGTGATGATATGCAAAAAGTAAACAGAATATATTGCCTTATCAATATGAACTCAACTTGATTTTATGCGTTAAATACGTTGTAAATGATTTTTTCCAAGATAAAATGACAAAAAAAGGAAACTAAAAGTTGACATAATGACAACTCGATATAGGCCAACACAGATACTAAGTATATATTAAACAAAAATTAATAAGAATGCAATGTTCACACTCAATAACCGACTAACAATGCGATGTCGACAATACGAACAATGTTAACAAGAAAATAAGAAGGGCAATGTTTACACGATGTCGACTCGATATCAACCAACAATGCGATATCTACGATGTGAACGATGTAAACAGGATAAAAAGAAGGCAATGTTGACACGATGTCGACTCACTGTCGACCAACTTTGCGATGTTGTCGATGTGAACGATGTAAACAACAAAAGCAAGAGGCCCATGGGCCACATCGCTCACCTGAGAAGCTTTGACCATTCTGCTCTTTACCAGATTTCCCCCTTTAATACATAATGCATCCCCACTCTACCCCACTGATCATAATATAGACATTTTGAAATCTACACTACACCATGATCCTTCCATGTGCATATAAGTTTCAGCTTTTCTGGCCCAGTGGTTCTTGAGAAGATTTTCAAAGATTTTTCCTATATATTTCTATGTAAAACTTTGATATCCCATTGTGGCCCCGCCCTTCCCCCGGGGGTCATGATTTGAACAATTAAGAATCAACACTATACATGTACCAGAATGCTTCAACATAAGTTTCAGCTTTCCTGACCCAGTGGTTCTTGAAAAGAAGATTTTTAAAGATTTTTCCTATATATTTCTATGTAAAACTTTGATTTCCCATTGTGGCCCCGCCCTTCCCCCGGGGGTCATGATTTGAACAATTCAAAATCTACACTATACCAGGATGCTTCCACATAAGTTTCAGCTTTTCTGGCCCTGTGGTTCTTGAGGAGAAGATTTTCAATGATTTTTCCTATATATTTTTAAGTAAAACTTTAATTCCCCATTGTGGCCCCGCCCTTCCCCCGAGGGTCATCATTTGAATAATTTAGAATCTACACTACCCTAGGATGCTACCACATAAGTTTCAGCTTTTCTGGCCCAGTGGTTCTTGAGAAGGAGATTTTTTATGACCCCACCCTATTTTTGTCTTTTCTTGATTATCTCCCCTTGTGAGGGGACTCTGCCCTTTATTTTAACAATTTTAATTCCCCTTCACCCAAAAATACTTTGTACTAAGTTTGGTCAAAATTGGCCCAGTGGTTCTTGAGAAGAAGTCGAAAATGTGAAAAGTTTAAAGACGGACAGACAGCTAGACAGACAGACGGACGGACGGACAGACGACGGAGAAAATGTGATCAGAAAAGCTCACTTGAGCCTTAGGCTCAGGTGAGCTAATAAGAAGGGCAATGTTGACACGACGTCGACTCGATATCGACCAACATTGCGTTGTCGACGATGTGAACGATGTAAACAGGATAAAAAGAAGGGCAATGTTGACGTCATTTCGACTCGATATCGACCAACATTGCGATGTCGTCGATGTAAACGATGTAAACAAGAAAAATAAGAAGGGCAATGTGGACACGATGTCGACTCGATATCGACCAACATTGCTATATCGACGATGTGAGCAATGTGAACTACAGAAAGGGGGAGGCAAAGTTAACAAGACGGTGACTCTGTATTGTTAAACAATGTAATATATAGACAGATAAACAAAGGAATTATTGTCATGTTGAATATGTTATGATATAAGGAGGACTGATATTTTTACAGCGATCGATGTCGACAATATCGAAAAAACATTGTGCACTGGACATACCTCACACTACCTGAGATTGTTTCCCAATAAGTTTCATCTTTCCTGGCACTGTGGTTCTTGAAAAGAAGATTTTTAAAACATATCCCACCAAATTTTCATTAATTCCCAACTAACTCCCCTTGAATGAGGGCGAAGCCCTTCATTTGAACATACTTGAATCCCCTTCACCCAAGGATGCTTTGTGACAAGCTTGGATAAAATTTGCCTAGCGGTTCTTGAGAAGTCGAAAATGTGAAAAGTTTACAACAACGACGATGACGACTCCGATGACAACGTACAAATTTTGATCCAAAATGCTCAAGTTAGCCTTTGGTTCAGTTTTTTTTAAAGGATTGGTCCTTGTTATTTTTCACCATGTAATCCGTTTAGATATCTCAAAAAATTAAAGTTCCGAGTGTACAAGTATATGACGCGGATCTAAGACATCTGATCTAAATTAGGTTATGTTTCCTCTCTGACTGTCTGTTCCTCTTGACAAAAAATGACATTTGCATGATTATGAATGATAATTTTACACTTGAAAATTTCTTGACTAAAGGAAAAATACAAAGTATACATTGAAGAGATATTATATTCTTACCTCCGTAGGTCCAACCAGAGAATACACTCCCATCTTGATCACACACTTTCTCGTCCACCTTCTGGTCAAGACGTTTAGAGGCGTCCACCACAACAACATAGAAAGCTCTCCTGGTCAGATAAATCTGGTGACAGGCGTAGTACGCACACTGCCCTCCAAAGTCAAAAAATGTCAAAGTCTTTGCATCCAATTTTTCAGAGGTATTTTCTACATTGTTTTGGTTTATGTATTTTCCTTTGGCTGAAAAAATGTTATCATGAAAATATCTTTTTGTTGCTGATGGAAAAAAAATATGATCAGTATTGCCAGAGTTAGATAAAGCATAACTCAGAAAACGCAGATTCAATCATTTTTAATCCTAGATATAAAAACAACTTCATTTTTAAAAATATACCCAGTATTTTCTTTTTCATGTGTTAAAACTAATTCATTCGTATTTTTCTGAAGATTGTATATTATAAAACATCGCAATTGTGAATTTATGTTTAATTTTCAATACACGAATATTTTTTCCTTCTTTTTATATATTAACAAAGATAACTTTGAATTATCATATTTTACCTTTCAAAGATTTTGCTTCATCACATAATTCAAATATTTCTTCATGCACTTCCAATCCCTCAGTAGATTTTACATTACCAATCTCTTTTTCACTACACCCGAGCAGACGTTTAAGTAGCGTGGTTTTCCCCGCTCCAGCACATCCTACAATCATCCCCCGGGCGTGGTGGACTGTCTGTGTTCCTCTCTTAGCGTACTCCACATACCGCTCTCTGGCCTCCTGGTCCCACTTTAGTACTTCTTCAGGGACTCCTACTACATAAAAGCGAAATAATCAAATCTCGGAGCATCAAGACAAAAATAATTTATGGACAATATGTGTTGTTTTCATTGATAACAAGGCATTAGAAAGATTTATAAAACCCCTAAAAGTACATTTCATTTTTTATGCGCCCGGATCGATAGACGTATAATGTTTTTGACCTGTCTGTCTGTTTGTCCGTTAAGCTGTTTGTCTGTCTGTTGTCAACTCTAACCTTTGCAATAAATTTTGAGCCAAAGGAAATACAGACATCATATTACTTTTTAAGTTCCTTCAAACGACACCAAGGTCAATGACCATATGCTAATAATATCTTTTTTTTCTAAATGACGCCATGACTTTTGAACCATTGGAGATAGAGACTCCTTATTACGTGGGCATACTTCACTTAAAAAGTTCTTTCAAATGACAGCAAGGTCAATGACCTTGTTACCTTGACTGTGACCTATATGCTTAATTTTCTTTTTAAAACTTTCGCCATAACTTGTTAACCATATGAGATAGTCAGAGATAGAGACTATATTTTTGATATGCATACTTCACTTATTAATTTCTTTCGAATAACACTAATGCCAATGACCTTTGACCTTGACCTATAGCTATATGCTAAAAATAGATTTTTCAAACTTTTATGGCACCGGGCGCATTGTGTTTCACAAATACATCTTGTTTAACATTAATAATTACCATTTTATTGAAACAACATTTAAATGTTTAATACTAGTACAACAATAACTGTTGATTTAAATTCTAGAACAGCGTAAGCAACTTTTAACTGTCCATTGAAGGTACGGGTCCGAGTGTACTTTCAAAGGAGGGGGGGGGGGTGCAACCACAGTCCAAAAAATTCCAACATAGATATCACTTGACAATGTATAAAAACTTAAACTCATTTCTAAAACGTAAAAAAAAACCTACTTCGAGGGTGGGGTAGGGGTGTCTTTTGAATTCAAACTTTCGTGTCTCTGACTTTGTTACCAACTTAACACGTGTCCACGTTCTCTAGAGGAAGGGAAGGGGGTTTCTAAGGTAATCTGTATTAGTTTAGGATTCATTTTATAAAGCGACACATGTAAAGGGTTGGTGTCCGGCCCCCACGACACTCTTCCAGATATTTGCTTGCATTGACCATTTGACAAGAGAATATGTTTTTATGTGTCAGTGTACAATTGTACCAACACAAAAGACTTCAAAGTAAGTTCTTACACTTAATTAAGGAGAGAAAAAAAATGTCATTAGTACGTGAGTAAAATAAATTTTTAACGGTAAACCTCATCGATTGTATCATTTAATTCAAAATTTCACAATACAGATGTGACCATAAGCGACAAATGCATTTAATCCAAGGCCCCCGCATATTTCCGTATTGCCCCTTTAAGTGCTAAATCTCGTATATTTTAAAATGTATACATTTATAACAGAAGTTTCATAAAAGTAGCATTTTCATCATCAAAGAACGTTTACATATTGGTATAACACATTTTTTAAAAAAGAATATGTTTTGATAATCTTATGCACAGGCATGATAAAAGATTTGTATACAAACATGTACGTCATCTTTTTAATCAAAATGTGCAAAAGAGACAAAAACAAAATTTTAAAAAGAATACACTGATAATGAATTTAGAACATCATGATTTTAAATAAATAATACTCACAACGTCTCCTGATCCTGTAATGAATCCCCTCGTCAGACATGGTACAGTGAGTGATGATGTCCAGCTGTACTTTGTCTATGAAGAGCGCGTACATCTTCTCCGGCCTGTCCGGTACATACAGACATCTCTCTCCGTCACTCCTCTTATACATCCAGGACCGGCAGTATTCTGATATCACGTCACGTGAAGCCGTGGTCAGGAAAAACTCCAGATCATCGTCCTTCACCAGACACTCCGTAACAAAGGCGTACATGACGTCATGTCGGATGTCGTTTGATAGAAAGGTTATCACACCGTTATGTGTTTCTGTGATTCCATCAGGAAGATCTACCGAACACTCTTCCGTAACATCAGTGAAATATCTGTCTCTGATTGTGTCCCTTATGATTCTGTGTGATTGTTCATTGACATTCAGCTGATATTTCTCAGCTAACAGCATGCTGTATAATAGATTCCGAATTTTCGGCGAATACTTACGACATTTACCTAAAATGAAAATAAAGCTGTTTTAAATAAATAACATTTCAAATGGGATAAAAGATAAAATGTAACTATATATTTTCAGCGATTGATTATTTATAAGTAAATAAAGGGATTTTCAATTGTCATATTTGATCTGATTTTGTATATTGTTTAATGGACTTCGAGATTGAATACTGTTCGTTATCTCCATATCCTTCATGTACATGTTAATACTATTAAATTTTCCTGGGGGAAATATGTATCTTTTATATAACACATTCATTCCCTTTTTAATCTAAACCTTAATTTATTATACAAAGAATTTTAAAGTATTGATTATATCTGGGGAGAAATAGAATGAACTACTGGAAGTAAACCACCCCTCCTTTCCCAAGTTCTCTTTTACGTTTGTTTAAAAGAGGGTAAGTATTGACATTCTTAACAAATTCTTACGAGTCGTATCTGGAGAGAATATCATAAATTGAAATAATTTAGCTTAGTGGATTTTCATTGAGAAAGAAAACAAAAATTAATGCAATTAACAAACTATACATTCTTGATTGAAATAAAAAGTAATTTTCAATCAAATATATGTATTTTTATTTTTGAGATCTGTAGTTCAATTTTGAGGAAAAAAATCCCATTTTGTTTCCGAAAAAATTCTCGAGAAGCCTTTGAGGATTTCAATTTTTATACCACAACTTGCTATGGTAGACTCCTTTTTATGTTGAGGTCAAAGGTCAAGGTCGAGATACACAATGTGTGTGTAAATTTTTCATTTCACAAATTTGATGAAAAAAAACCCTCAACATTTTGAAAATATATTTCTTTGGTGGTATAGTTTGATGAGAAAAAGTTAACTTCTTAAGAGAAATCTCAGATCAGATCTAAGGATGTATCAGTATTGGTGGCCATGATCCCGGCACCAGGACTGTTTTTTTGTATCGAGTTTTCTCAGGGAATGCCTAAATACATGAAATAATTGAAAATAAAAATAGGGTGAAATATGCTCTTTCGACACGAATGCCGCATTATGCATCATGAACGTTAAAATAAGTACAAGAAGTTTGATGAGATTATGTTGATTGATTGATTGTGTGTTGTTTAACGTTCCTCCCGATAATTTTTCGTTCATATGGAGAGGGCTACAAAATAATTTTGTCTAATGCTCGGCACTCAGGATAATTGAGCAGTGAGGGATCTTTTTCATGCCAGTACCTTTTGCGACACAGGGCCATCCAAAGGACCGGTTTTCACGTCGCACAGTGGGATTCGAACCCGCGACGTAAGGATTGACTCCTTACTTGGCGACTCTAGAGCAGACGCTCTAACGACTGCACTACGCGGGCGCCGAGATTATGTTGAATAACTTCTCTAAAATTCAATTGACATATAAATCAAAGAATAAAGATAATCTCACCAAATTTTGTACATGTATAAATGCATAAGATTACATTAAAATATCTTCAATAGCTTCTATAAAACTTAACAAAATTCAAATTAAAGGAAAATAAGTTTAAGGTCACAGAAAAACTCAAGATCAAAAGTTTTGGTGCATGCAATTTAAAAATTGTTCTTTTGAGCAGCATATTAAGTTTGATAAATATTGTGGATGTTTGTTTTTTTCGATCTGAGCTAAATACTTTTTTTTAAAAAAAATGAGGTTAGCGTCAAAGGAAAGGTAAAACAAACTTGTTGCAGTCCTAAAACTTAGGAGCATATACGGTTTGATAAAAAATATCGTGTCATTTATTGTAAGCTAAGCTAAACGATAATTTTAAAAAGGTGATGTTAAGGTTAAAATACGCCGAAATAAATTTTAAACCTCATATGGAAAGAATGCTGTTAATTCCGCTGAAGTACATATCCGCCATGTTGGAGCTATAATGGCGGCAGATTCCATTGAATTATACAGAGGACATACAAAAAATTAACACTATCTTAAGATTACCTGAGCTAAAAGATCAAGTAAGTTGTTCTGATCTACAATGGCTGACCATAATTTATATAACAAGAGGCCCATGGGCCACATCGCTCACCTGAGTACTGTAGCTTGTAAAAGAAGAAATTGGTTGATTATTAAAAAGTATAAATCCGAATTCAAAGTAATCCCATGACCAATCATGGATTCGATGTTAAGGTTAAAATACGCCGAAATAAATTTTAAACCTCATATGGAAAGAATGCTGTTAATTCCGCTGAAGTACATATCCGCCATGTTGGAGCTATAATGGCGGCAGATTCCATTGAATTATACAGAGGACATACAAAAAATTAACACTATCTTAAGATTACCTGAGCTAAAAGATCAAGTAAGTTGTTCTGATCTACAATGGCTGACCATAATTTATATAACAAGAGGCCCATGGGCCACATCGCTCACCTGAGTACTGTAGCTTGTAAAAGAAGAAATTGGTTGATTATTAAAAAGTATAAATCCGAATTCAAAGTAATCCCATGACCAATCATGGATTCGCTATTCTTTAAAGAATTTTCCTGTACATTTCTATGCAAAACCTTGTCGGCCATTGTGGACAAACCATTGTGCATATTTTCTTGAGAAAAGGACGTGTATATTCCTTCGTAAAACCTCATAAAAGTTGACAAGCTAAAAAAAGGAAATTGCCCAAACACGAAAAACCTATTTCTTGGGGGAGGGGGGGGGGACTTGCTAACTTTTTCCAAGGCCAACTTCCTTTAACTTCCAATACTTGATATCGCGATTACTAAACTTAGCGGAACTCTTCCACGATGGAGGTAGGAAACGTCAGTTGGGTGGGGGATAGCAAAGAGCTATTAAATACAACGCAAGATCGATCATTCTAGGACACATAAGCAAAAAAATCCTGGTGGAATACCTTGTTAAACAATTGCTGAATATAAAGCTTAAGAAATTTTTTAGAGGAACCAATCCTAAATTGTTACATTTTAACGATATATTTATCTAAGCAGACTCTTCTCGTTAAATTTTCATTGAAAATTGTCACATTTAGAAGCAGATAAAATATTCTGAACTTTCCTTATTTAACAATCGACTATTTGGAGTTCAATATTTGGCAAAACAATGTGCTTTCGGCATTAAATTGTCCGAATCATTCGATTGTCACTACTGTAAACTATGTCATGTGCCCCAGAAATTTAGTCCATTCTCGAATCCCCCGAAAAAGAGCGGTAGTAAGTTAGATAATTCCGAGGTACTCATTGGTATTTACGATATTACGTACTTGTTGGCATACAAGTACAACATTTCCTTCATATCACTATACAGTGGTAAGAAGTGTGGGGTCAACCAACCTTTCAGTGAAATTTTTCAATCGTGAAGATAATGTTGGGAAAAAAGTGGGAAAAAACTCGGCTAACGCTTCGGCTTTTGTCTTTCAAACAACATTTCGAGACAAAGGAGGTTATTCTGCAACATTCACGAAAACACGAAAATTATTTCTTAAATATTATTATATAAAATACATAGGCGTAGTCACAGGGGGGGGGGGGGGGGGCAGCGGGGGCACTACTTCCCACTTTAAGCACTTTCAGATCGGGGGGGGGGGGGGGGGGGGGCAAGAGTATGTCTGCCCCCTCCACTTTTTAATGAAGAAATAAATCACAACTATGTTTAAATAATATTAAACCTCATTTTATGGCAATTTTTTTTATTTTCAACAACTGAGTAAGCATTTCTCCTGAAGTAATACCGGTAGTTGTATGATATGGTAATGTAATATAGATTAGAAATTAAATCTGTCAAGACCTCTTGTGTTCGCCAGTTTGGGATAGGGAGTGTGGGTCATAAATTTAAGTTTTGACCTTTCTGTTTCTCTCAGCATCTGTTATCTAATAAAATTAAATGAAAATCACAAGCTACCCCTTGTGTTGATGTCTGAAAATTATTATATTTTGCTGTATCCAATTTCTAGTAGAACACATAATCACAAAGTAAGTTTTGTCAAACTCTGGATTTTTAATTATTTAATTTTGCTGATTCATTAGCACTCTTTTATTTTTACATGTATTTTGGCTATCTAAATTTAATTTCCTGGTTCTCAGGCCAATTTTCTCCAAAACAGATGCGGGAGGGCGGCATTTTATTTTTCATTTTATTGCCAATAAAGTAGATGAGGGAGGATATTTTTTAAATTTTAATTTCCGAATTTTCTTCAACATAAAGATAATTTTTAATCACAGATATACTTTCCATATCTGGTCGCTTTATCCATTGCTTAACAGCGTGTAAACATCGTAGGTAATTTTCAAACGAAGTAGCCAAAATCTCATTGTAAATAGCTACCGGAAGTGATATTTGAATACTAAACTACGAAACAAATGAGGTCGGAATTTTTTTTCCCGGATTGGTCTCGGCAACACCAACTTTTTATTTTATCAAACGTACAATAAAGTCGGCAATGCGGCTACCTCAAAACGAATGCTCGCGGGCCTGAGAACCAAGAATTCAATTTTATATGGCCTTACTGTAGAATTCTAGTCAATCCAAATGTCATCAAAATACAAGTAGCAGCAGTATTGGAGATTCTGATTTCAGTATACCTGTGATGAATGTCAATCACTTTTAAAAACACTATTTGAAATCTTCTCATTCAGCTTAGACAGGGGTTTGATATCACTTTGGCTTATAGCTGATTTACGGGGGCGTGAGGGACGCACACCCTTAAAATTTTTAAAGTATGGTGTGATTAATATTATTACTGTCATACTTTGATACATATTTAACCAATGCCACTATTTTTGTTTCTGGTTTTACTATCAAATTACACGAAAACTTAGGAGTTTCCAGGGGCTTCGCCCCCTAAGCCCCACCATTCAAAGTGTGATATGACTAATATTATTTCATTTCATACCCCCGTATTCCATATCCTGTATTCACCCATGAATATTACATGTTGTACACCTTAATAATTCTTAATTTAACACACAGGGCCTTAGGGCTTTGGAATTGGGGATTGGAGGGTTCTCGATAAATAGAATAGTACAGAAAACTTAGGTACTACATGCTGGTGTCCCCTCATTAAAACCGTCTGATGACCTTTTTTTTTTTTTTTTGCTTGTCAAAGAATTTCTGGAATTGAGCACCCCACCCCCCACCCCACACACACACTTTTAAGTTTGTGACTACGCCTCTGAAATAATGTTGACAAATACATGTACGTATTTAGAGAAATTGGAATTTTTACAGATTTCTATCAGCATAATTAATTTCAGGATTTATTCCGATATTGTTCTGATAATGTGTATTTAAATCCAAGGCGTAAAGGGACGATTAGCATACACATAATGATATTTTTTTCTTTAAAAAAAAAGGCACGCAGAAATGATAGTTCTAAAGCAAGGAATTTTTTATAATATTCTATACAATTCTGCATTTTGAATATCTTACTGGTTTTTCTGTAAGCTTTGTTGTCTATGATGTAGATATCGTTGTGTGGATGTAGACCTATACAGGATCTCACGATGTCAGGTCTCGCTCCAAACCCGTAATTCAACAGCCACGTCACGTGATCTACACTGTCCTGTGATCTTCCTCTGTAATGTACAGCCTCCCCTTCTCTTCTTAGATCCGTTAGAAATTCCATCCGTTGATCTTCACTTTTCCTTAGTATGTTATCTGAAACATTCACTATAGAAGAAAAAATAAATATCGTATACACTGTAGTTATATCGTATAAACTTAATTTTTACTTTTGAAAAAAAAAAAGTGAAATTAATGTAGATTTCATGGACAGATAAAACTAATAAGGAATGAGTTTGATAAAAATAACCAATAGATTAACATTTTTATGAATCTTCAGATTATAGCATTTAAAAGCCCGTGAAGTCATAAAAGGATCAAAATCAGAATATCATGAAATATATCATTTTAATCTTCACAAATAAATACAATGAATTTAATCATTTTCCCGATTCAGAATTAATCACATTTCTCCACACTGACTTACATATCCGGTATATCTTATCATATATACGTGTGTCCTCCATGGTGACGTGAGTCAGTATGTTCATCTGTAGACGGCGTATCAGTAAGTGATCCCTGCCAGGACTAATGACACACTTCTCTCCAGGTTTTCTGTAGTATCCCTCTGATCTCAGGTACACACTGGCTGTGTCATAACTACTGCAAAGGAATGGTAAATCACGGTCTATTGATGCTATCTTATACATTGTCTCATCCTTTGTGTCGTTCGTTATCTTGTCCTGATCTTCCCAAAGATAATCACGTGCCTTCAGTCTGTCCAGAGTCTGCTGTGCTTCCTCACGTGCACGTGTTACAGGATTATCTCCACGGTAAAATCTTCGTAGTATCGCATTAAGCAAGTCCAGCCACTCTGTGTCAGTGAAGTCAGGAGGACCGGAGTAAGAAAACAGAAAACATAATAACACGGACACCTCGTCATCAGTCAGTGTGGAGAACTCATCTAGAAATAAAATAAAAAAAAACACTGATTACATATTTTACATGGCTTGATTAGTTTTCATCTCCTATTTTTCTACTGCATATAGTCAAGTTACATGTATTTTATTATATCAAAAATACAAATAAATTATGAAAAAAGAATTATAAGTAAAATCACGGAGTTTATTTTAGAAAAATATTTTCCTTTTCCCTTTCGATTCCCCCCCCCCCCCCCCCCCACTAAAACCGATGCTTAGTATAAAAAATATTTAAAAAATTATCGACACTTATGAGAATGCTATAGTAAGTATAGTTTGTTGACCTTTGTTTTGTATTTCAGATGATTGATTGAAAATAGTTAAACAAGGTGTTTTTCAAATATTATCATGACTATTATAAGATATAAAATTTATTTAAAAAGGAAAAAAATGACTTTTAGGATAGCATTTCAATGCTAAAAATTATCATTTTGCTGTATAAGACTTCGATATTGAGCTTTTATGTTTCAATATAAAATCAAGTGTCGTCTTTCGAAGATAACAGTCACCACCTTACATTTTTTGCGATAATTGATCATAGGCCGCATCACTCACCCGAACAACTGACCAGGTAAAAACAAAAAACAAACAACCAAAAAAAGTGCAGTGTCGAAAAGTTGGAATATAAAAAATGGGTTCGGGGGAAAAGGGGTTGAATAACTTCCTACACAAAAAGTAATACATAAAAGATTTGCTGTTTTAAAGATGAAAATTTTTATTAATATACCGATAGCGTTTATATTTATGGAATAACTTTCTAGTTAGGAGACTATGCCAGGGCAACAACGACAGCCCGTTAAGCTTAAATTATCCCTTGGTTCCGACTATCGTCCATGTTCCTGGCTTAGTCTCCTAATTAGACAATGATTCTTTATATTTTCATTTTTATTTGAAATAACAATCTTAAAATAAATCGAAAAACCGTCTAATTTAGTAGATTTGAAATTGACTGCAGAACTGTACAGCTCTGTTTTTAAGAAAACTCGAACAGATAAAGCAGACAGTTAAAGGAGTTGGATGAACCTGACGAGAGATTAGCCCATAAATGATAGAGCACCAAACATGAAGGTCAAAAATCAAGTCTTAATTATATCAAAATTTTCCTTAATATTTCATCTAACACTTAAGTTTTCTTTATGTAAAATATTTACAACTTGCACAAATCACATGAAGATTGAAGTTATTTTCCTATGAAATATTATCAGTCTAGACGAACTCCAAAAATGGCGTGAACTCCATAAAAGAAGTCTTTGACTCTGTCATGCATTGCCGCAAAATTGCGTCCGATGTGAACAAACGATGGATTGTTATTCTGCACATCACACAGTTGTATATAACTGAAGATACTATTTGTTTTGCTCCTGTAATCCAATAGCCTGCCGATCTGATAGCGCCCTCCGTGAAATGGCGTCCCTGATGTTTAGTAAGCTGATGGTAATGGCGCACCAAAAGCGTGGCTATATGTTGCTTACCAGGAATAACGATGGGGTTTCTCTCATTGACGTTCAATTCGGAATGTTTTAATCGGCCTCCTACACGCAGAATACCATCACAGTCTATGAAAGGGTTCAATTTCATTAGTGAATTGTTCTTGTTAAGTTCTCGACCTTCTGTGATGCATCTGATTTCTTCTCCAAACACTTCTCTCTGGACCTCTCTGATGATATGTTTCTCGGTTTCAGTATATAGGTCAACATTATTTGCCTTGCTGCAGATGTGCCAACCTCTGCATGGTGCTGTTCCACTCCAACATCTGGCGATATGTTTCAACTTTGCGATCCCTGAAACCAAACTATTCCACGTTGAGTAGTTGACTAGTCGTTTAGTTCCCATGAGAGAATCTCCAATGTGTAGCTTTTTAACTGTCACGGCTGGTCTAATCTCCTTATCAATCTCGGATTCTATGAGATCATACTCCAGTGGAACAGATTCATCTGTTTCAGGTGTGTCTTGGTCTGAACTACTGAGAAACCATCGCTTTGGACCAAAGAGCCAGGGACTGTGTTTCATATTTTCAACTGGAATTGGTCTAGTTGCTTGGTCTGCTGGATTATGTTCTGATGGCACAAAACTCCATTGTTCTGGTGATGAGACTTTATGAATTTGCTCAACTCTGTTGCTAACATAAGTGTAGAACCTTCTTGTCTTGTTGCAGATATAGCCAAGGACAACTTTGCTATCTGTATGGAACTAGATTTCTTTGTGTTCAATGTCCAACTGATCTGATATGATTTTGGCTATTTCGGTACCAAGTACTGCAGCACATAACTCAAGACGAGGGATGGTAACTGCTTTCTTAGGCGCCACTTTTCCTTTACCGAGTACGAAACCTTGATGCAAATTGCCATCTAAATCCTTTGCTCTAAGAAAGGCAACTGCGGCAATGGAATCTTCTGAAGCATCTGTAAAAACATGAACATCCTTCCTGACGAGACTCTCGCTTGGTACAGGTAGGTAAGGACGAGGGATTTCCAGGTCTTCAAGATGCAGTAGTTGTTGTTTCCACTCTTCCCACTCCTCTTGGTAGTGTTCAGGTAGATGTTGATCCCAGGCGGTAGATTCTAATGTCAACTTTCTCAGCAGCAATTTACCTCTAATGAGAACTGGTGCTATAAGTCCAAGGGGATCATAGAAGCTGTTCACACAAGACAAGACTCCTCGGCGAGTGTATGGCTTCTCGTCTAAGGAGAGTCTGAATGTAAATGAATCGGTTCGTGGATTCCAGCTTATCCCTAAACTACGCTGAATGGGAAGGTTATCTTTCATGAGATCAAGTGACATCAGGTCTTTTGCAAGGTCTTCAGTAGGAAAGTGTTTCATCACGTCATTGCTGTTGGATACAAATTTGTGAAGCCTGAGACCTCCTTCTTCCAGTAAAGCTTGCTGTGTCCGCTTCATCAGACTGACGATTTTCTCTGCAGATGACATAGAAATCAAACCATCGTCAACGTAGAAATTGCGCTCCACAAAACTACGGACGTCACTTCCATAGGTAGCTTCAGCATTCTGTGCAGTTCTTCTAAGTCCATATGTAGCAACAGCGGGTGATGGACTATTGCCAAAAACATGAACGCACATCCGATATTCTACCAAAGGCTTCTGCGGATCGTTGTCTAGGTACCAGAAGAAACGTAAGTAATTTCTGTGATCTTCTCGCACCTTGAAACAATGATACATTTGCTGTATATCGGTCATGATACCAATATCATCAAGTCTGAATCTCATAAGAACACCAAGTAGACTGTTCGTCAAATCAGGGCCGGATAGAAACACGTTGTTTAAGGATACACCATGACACTGTGCAGAGGAGTCAAACACCATTCTAACTTGGTCTGGTTTCTTAGGATGGTAAACGCTGAAGATGGGTAAGTACCAGAACTCGTCCGTGTCATTTAACGGTGGTGCTAACTCTGCATGCTGTGCATCAAGAATACGCTTCATGAAGGCAACTGCATGTTCACATTTCACTGGGTTCTTCCTCAGGCTTGTGTCTAAAATTATAGCTCTTTTCAGTGCGTGTTGTCTATTGTCTGGTAGTCTCTGTCTTGGTTCTCGAAACGGTAATGGTGCAACCCATTGGCCACTATCATCACGAGAAAATTCCTTTTCCATGATGGCCAAAAATTCTTTGTCCTCCACAGACAACCCAGGCTTATCGTCATCAGGGGATGTCTGGAAAATGTTCTCTCCAATCGACTCATGTCTATTCTGATGTTTAATGTATACATCACACTGTCTCTCTTTAGGTAAGTTGTCCTTCACTTGGATATTATTTGGACATGGTGTAGATAACGTCGCTCTTCCATCTGACAAAACTGCAACTTTGTTTGCGACGACGATATCCGGTCTGTGAGTTCTTCCGAGACAGACTTCTCCGACAATTACCCATCCGAGATGAAGTTTCTGGGCATGTGGCGTATTAGGAGCTCCAACTCTCTGTTCCATAATATGATGCACATCACCAAGGTCACGTCCTATCAATATGAGAATGCTGGTATTTTCATCTAATGGCATCAGGTGTTTAGATATGTCCTGTAAATGAGGATATCTGTCTGCTACTTCAGGAGTTGGTATCTCACGTCTGTTATCAGGGATTTCATCACACTCGATAACAGGTGGAAGGTTGAACCGACTACTTCCATCAATGGCTTCTACTACTAGTCCGTTGACTCTTCTTCCACTACAGGTGAATTGTCCGCTGCATGAAAACAGAGTATATGATTCTGCATCACTCTGGATCTTGAAGAAGTCAAATAGTTCGGATCTAGCTAGTGTTCTATTACTCTGTTCATCGATGATTGCATAAACCTTGATAACGTTCTACTTGTTATCCTGATGATAAATACGTACAGGAAGGACCTTTGCACATGATCGGCCACTGAAAGTAGTTCCGCAAAGTTCGGTACACTTAATGGAGACGTGTTTTCGTCTGAGTTTTCTCCCCGCCGTAAACAAGTCCTTTGTTTACTTTAGACTGTTCCTTCTCTCCTTCACCAGTAGATCTGGGATCAAGCTTTCTTTGTTCTGTATGCAAAGCTGTTGCATGGTGACTGCTTCCACAAAGTTCACATTTAACATTCGCTTTACAGTGTCTTGACAAATGTTTGGATTCACAGCACTTATAACAGAAATCCTTTTCCCGGAGAAAATCTTTCCTTTCTTGTAACGGCATGGCTAGGAATGTTCTACAGTGGTTCAGTGAATGAGATGCTTTGTGAATAGGACATCTTGGAGACTGTTCTTGTCTTTCTTGCTTATTTCTGTCATCATCTACTGTGAGGTCGGTTTTCCTGTTGTGAACACTTAATGATCGCTTCAGTTCATAGGGTCTTTTATCCACTGTTCCTAATGTAGTTCCGTCATGATGGAAAGCTGGGTCATTCTTCACTATGCTGAGTTCCCTTATGAAATTCACTAAGAAACTGAATGGCGGAAACGGAACGCTGTGGTATTTCTTATACTTAGACGCTTGCGACACCCACTTATCTTGTAGACTTTGTGGCAACTTACTGATGATAGGAATAATACCGGACGATGAGTCGTAGTATGACAGGAGTGTAGCATACTGGACGTTCTCCTTTGCCGATTCTATCTCTGTCAAGATGTCTAGCAGATCGTACAGCATTTTTGGTTCCTTCATGTTTATCTTAGGAAATTTGTTGAGCTTGTTCTTCAACGCAGCTTCTATCATTTCTGGTCTACCATAACGCTCCTCGAGTCGTTCCCAAATTCGGTAGAGTCCTTTGGGTGGATCATTGATGTTAGAACCTCTAATGCTGCTTGCGAATTTCTTCGATTCCGGCCCTAACCACTTGATCAACAAATCCATTTCTTCAAATGCGGAAATGTTCAGTTCTTTCACTATACTTGTGAAGCTAGCCTTCCATGTTCGGTAACAATCTGGCTTATCGTTGAACGGACTGAATCGTGACATCAGGAGATCTTTCTTTAGAAGAAATTGTGTCAAGTTGGCAGTCACTCCGATATGTGAATATGGATAAAATTCCTGAGCTGTTGGATTCAGGTGAAAGTTATTGACATTAGGAGCGGCAGGTTCAATTGGTGTCTTCACATTGGTTTGTGATGAAATGTCTTTAGCATCTTTGTTATCCTCTTTGTCCATGTAATCATTTCTATACAATTGTTCAAAGGACACATAATCACTCTTTGCTTCACTGAACTTTGAATGTTCACTAACATAGTTTGCTGTGTATTCTCGTTTAGTTGCACGTGAGGAATCATTACTGCCCAAGGGATGTCGTTCCGGTAATGAAGGTATCATCCGAGATCCTTGATCCTCAATGTCATCTATTTCCGCTTTCAATGAATCTACATTCTTCTGACATTCTAAGAGTCTAATTTTGGCTTCAAGTAAGGCTTTCTGCTTCTGGAGCTCTGTTTCCTTTTCAGCATACTGGAGTTTCTTTAACTGTGTCATACAGTACGGTCAACGCGGATTAGGCATTAAACCGCGCTCCCCCCGCGGTGTTTTGATCCTTTCCGCGATACACCCTCGCGGTTATTTCATCGCGGTCCTACCTGTAGCCAGGTATAGACCGCGGCAGTGTGACTTACCGTTGACTGGCACATCGGATTGATCTTACCGGTACGGCCGTATAATATCTATAACTACATATTGTTCGGTCTATAAAATTGCAGGTTTTGAGTAAAAAAAAATGGTGCAATTAAAAATATCATACAGTGATACTGTAGTACTACCCGAAGAATTTCAAAAAAAAAAAAAAAATAGCGCATGATTGTTTTCCCAAGTTATTCTGATGTTTGATAATTGTAAGTTTTTAAAACATGTTTAAAAAAAAAATAAATCATATTCTCAGCATAAGCATAAACTTTATTTCTCTAAATCAATGACTATATACCGTGTATCACTTTTACAATGAAACGCATACATGTTTCGATAAATATTCGATGAATGGAAGATCTAGATATTCTGAAACATGTTTATAAGCAATGTGCAATAAATTTCTCTCTCTCTCTCTCTCTCTCTCTCTCTCTCTCTCGTATTATTATTTGTGTTTTTTTTTTTTAAATCGGCAAAATTCACTTTAAACTGCAGCGCATTTCCGCTTGAAAGCATACTTGTAAGTACGAACAATTTTCATGAGAAAAGCGTGTTAACTGAAAACACTGAGTAGTAGAAATATTTGTATGCAGTTTAAAGTGTTACTTAATGAACTCTTAATGTGCAAATAAAATAAGAGAAAACTTTTTTTAAAAAATTCCGCATAATAATTATAGTATACAGATGAAACGGGGTGCTTTGTTGTGCATACCGTTGTGCATAATAAATTGATATATCGTCCTTTTGCTATACATGCATACATATGTAAAAGAATTAATATTATTTCTACCTCTATAGCCAACCCTGTCAACGTATGGGATTAACTAGACGCAGTGAAATACATGTACATGTAGCTTGTCGTAATTTTTGAGGGACATGTACACAGTGCATATAGGACAGCGTTAACATTCCTATTTTTTGTATTTGT